AGAAAGAGAGAATTTAGGGAAGGGGGCAGATAGGACAAGACAGATCTCAGTTATGGTTAGAACTTCCCTTGTGCGAATGTATTCTCTCACTGGCTGATCCCTGCGCTCCTGGAAGGCTGCACCTCGGGCCTGCACTTTTTGCTGCAGAGCACCAAGTGGTCAGTCAGCCAGTCTGCAGACAGTTTGCAGAGCCCTGCATGTGCACACACAACAGAAACTGTGTACAAGGCTGGCACTCGGCAGGGTGAGAGGCCGTCTGTGTCCGAGGTCTCTGGGTTTCTGTCACCGAGAAATGGGCTGAAACTGCTCTTTGTGGGGAAAAAATAGCCTTTATCTGCAAGGAGGAAGAGGAGGTCTGGTAAGGGACAGAGATAAGGTCAAGGGTGACATTCGCTTATTCATGAGATAAGCCCAGGACAGGCACTTTTCATGTACTCTGTGCTCAACATACATCTGATAATTGATAAACTCTAAAGTTTTGGCTAATTAAGAGGTATTAAGATGTAAGCGTAACTTCCTTACCAGTTCCATATTTTAAGAAATACTAAATGTGTATTTCTTAAAGAAGAAGGCAGAAATATAATAAATAGTATGCTGTATAAAAATCTATAAACTGTACTGATCAAAATGTCTTATATTTATTATATGGTATCTTTTTTATAAAGACCTGTGTGACAAATTCCTCTTAAAAATTAGGTCTCAACGTTATGGAGATGGATGTACAACAAGTGAATGTATTTATAGCCCTGAGCCATACACTTAAAAATGGTAAATTTTATGTTATGTATATTTTACCATAATAAAAAATCATAATAATGGATAGCCATTAAAAAGAATAAGATGATGGGAAAACATGGAAAATGCTGAAAGTAAAATAGAGCTGAGTTGATGTATGTGGGGAAAAACCCATCCAACTGGCACTGTTAAAAATAAGGGATTATGAGGTGCACTGGGGGAGAAATGCGTAATTTCCTGGGAAAATGGCTTAAATATAACCTAGAAGTTTAAAATCTCCAAGGCTTTACCCACATACTGTATGGTAAGATAATGATAATAAGCTTCAGTTCATGTGTATATTGTAAAATCACATTTTTTAAAGATGTTTAAAATTCCTAGAACAGAAGATATATCTTAAGGATACTATTGTATTTTGTTTTCATTATTTGGGAATTCCCAGATAATTCATAGTTGTTTTTTCTGGTGGGGGTATTTTGTTTTCATTATTTGGGAATTCCCAGATAATTCATAGTTGTTTTTTCTGGTGGGGGTGAGGGGTGTTTGGTTGAAGTGGATTCTTATTTATTACAGTGTTGTCCTTGAAAAAAAAAATTAGGTCTCAAAATAAAAACGTCATTCCTTTAGTGTTCAGGGTAATGAAAACTATAGAAATCATCCATCCTTTCATTTTTTCAGTCAACAAATATTTGAGTTCCTATGATAAGTCAGTCAGGCCCTAGCTACTGGTGATGAAACAAGAAAACAAGATAAAAAAGGCCTCCCCTCTTGTCAGTTTTAGTCGGGGAGAAAGACAATTAAAAAGGAACAATAATGAGGTTGATCTGAAGACAATAAAATGGAGTCCTGGGAAGGCCTCCCTGAAAAGATGCTTTTTGAGCGAAGGCAGAAGACAGAGCAAGTGCAAAGGGCCTGAGGCAGGGGTGAGTTCAAAGAACAGCAAGGAAGTCTGAGGGTGGAGGCTGGGAATGCGCAGGAGAGGGGGAGGAGAGGCACCTGAAACCAGGCAGGGACCTACAGGTCTTCGGAAGTGCGCCAGATGTTATTCTCAGTGATGGTGAGCCGCTGGAGAGGCTCGGGCTGGGGGAAGGAAGCCAGCTGGTGTGCACTGTGAATGAGGACCTCCTGGCAGCTCTGCTGAGCCCTGACTGTACGGGGGTTGGGAGAGGAGGCAGTGCCGCTGGGAGGCTTTCGCAGCAGCCCTGGCAGAGATGGTCCGTTGAGGTTTCTGGCTGAGATACTTAGTTCTCATCAGCCCCAGGACTTTTTTATTTTATAACTGGAAGTTTGTACCTTTTGACTCCCTTCACCCATTTCACCCACCATCCCCCACCCCTGCCAACAACCGCCTATCTGTTCTTTGCATCTATGCTATATATATATATTTTTGCACTCCACATACAAGTGAGATATAAGGTATTTGTCTTCCTCTGTCTGACTTATTTCATTTAATATAATGCCCTCGAGGTCCATCCATGTTGTCTCGAATGGCAAGATTTCATTCTTTCTTTTAAGGACTGAACAATATATATATATATAACAATAATATATATATAAAATATATATAACAGCAGTGTGTGTGTGTGTATGTGTGTGTGTGTGTGTGTGTGTGTGTGTGTGTGTGTGTGTATCACATTTTCTCTACATCCGTCAATGTGCAGCTAGGTTGTTTCCATATGTTGGTCGTTTTTGTTGTTGTTTTTAAAAAAATGCTGCATGGAAGATAGAGATGCATATATCTTTTCGAATTAGTGTTTTGGTTTTCTTTGGATAAATGCCCAGAAGTGGAATTGCTGGATCATATGGCAGTTCAATTGTAATTGTTTGGAGAACCTCCACTCTGTTTCCCATAGTGGCTGCTCCAGTTTACGTTCTCACCAACGGTGCTCAAGGGTTCCCTTTCCTCCACATCCTCACCAGCATTTGTTACCTCCTGTCTTTTTGAAAATAGCCACTCTACCAAGTACAAGGTGATACCTCACTATGTTTTGATTTGCATTTGCCTGATGATTAGTAATGTTGAGATCTTTTCATGTACCTGTTGCCATCTGAATGTCTTCTTTGGGCAAATGTCTATGCAGATCCTCTGCTCATTTTTTAATCAGATCGGGGTTTTTTTGCTATTGGGTTGTCTGTAGATTCTGGATATTAACTCCTTATCAGATGTATGATTTGCAAATATTTTCTCCCAATCAGTAGGTTGCCTTTCATTTGTTGGTAGTTTCCTTTACTGTGCCGACCTTTTTAGTTTGAGGTAGTTCCACTCACTTATATTGTATTTTGTTGCCTTTGCTTCTGATGTTAAATCCAAAAACCATCATCAGGACCAAAGCCAAGGATTTTACCACCTACGTTATCTTCTAGGAGTTTTATGGTTTCAGGTCCTATGTTGAAATCTTTAACTTTTGAGCTGATTTTTATATATGGTATAAGAAAGTCATTCAGTTTCATTCTTTTGCATATGATTGTCCAGTTTTCCTAATACCATTTATTGAAGAGACTGTCCTCTCCTTGTATTTCCTTGCTTCCTTTGTCTCAAATTAATTGACCACATATGCATGGGTTTATTTCTGGGCTCTCTCATCTATTCTATCCACCTAGGTGTCTTGTGGGTGATTTTGTACTGTGTCCTGGGCATTTGGGTTATGGTGTCAGGAGACTTTTGATCCCATTTAAATCTTCTCCTTTAGCAGGCAGTCACTTATTTAGGTTTAGTATATTGATTCTGGCCTAGTTCTGTGGGCCGTAGTTCCAATGACAGTTTAGTTTTCTGAAGCCTTGCATGCTGTTCTGGTCTGCTTCATTCTTCTGGCACTGCTGGGACTTCTGCTCAACTCCTTTCTGGTGCCACCTACAGGGGCTGAGCCCACTTCTCTAGGCTAACTTTTGCCCAAATTAGAGAGCCAGAGGGGGCTTGGGTCCCTTATGCCACTTGGTATAGGGCAGGGAGATCCCAGATTCTGCTGGGATTGGCTCTATGGGTAGAATGGTCTTCTGTGCTCCAAGTGTAGGTTAGATGTTGATTGGCTAAGGGGCTTCAATACTGTTCATGCAAGTGGATCAACCCCCCTGCCAGTGCCCCAGTGCAGAGTGGGGGATCAGTCCACCAAGACTTTGAAGCTGCCTCTGTAGACAGGTTGGGCTGGCAATCAGGTCCCAGTTATGGAGTCAGGGTTGCTAACTCCCTCTTTGTCTCTGTTGGGCTTCCCTCCCTCGTCCTTCGTCCAGAGAGGGCAGCCTTGTCTTGGGATTATGTCAGTGCCTGTTGACAGTTCTGGGTCACAGGTCCCTCCAGTGCCCAGACACATATGGGAGATAAAAAGAAACCCCAGGGTGCTTGCCACATCATCATCTCTCTAGGCCCCTGTTCCCTGGTCAGCCCTCCTTCTTCTTTCCAGGTTTCACAGCCCTTCTGTGATGCTCTATTGAGTGATTTCCCAGATATTTATTTGTATTAGAGGGCAGGCACAAGGCAGGGTGAATCTATACCATCTTGTTCCCTGCACATAATACAAACTCCCTTAGAAACTTTTTGAAGGCAGACATAATATACATTATAAATCAATGTTACCAGTTATTAGAATCATTAATTATAAGGTTGTGCCTAATAAATTAACATTAATATATGATGAGTTAAAATGTGATGGTGGGGACTTTGGGTTGGGACAGGATGGCATAGACCCATCTCTTTCTGCTCCTCCCTCCCAAGCACAGCTGAAACCGATGCAGGCAAAGCTGAGTTCTGAAAGGTGGTGAGAAGAGAGTGAGCTGGCTGGGGACCCCCGGCCCACACAACCAGCCACGACTGACTGCCCAACAGTGAGGCAGGGAACCCTAAATCCTCCCCACCAGCACAGCTTAGGGTTTCCTGCCCCTGGCCTGGCAAGAGAAGGCATCCCAGGTAAACTCAGTATTCTCCTGTCTCTCAGGCAAAGGGGAGCACTAGGGAGTCCCACCAAAAACCAGCATCCGGGGAAACACTCTCCTTCCTCACTGGTGTGAGACTCCTCTTTCCACCAAAAAGTTTGAGGGGTGTGAGCTGATCCATCATGGGAGCCCCAGCTACGTAAGCGGCCTGGTCCAGGAAGCCTCTTTGTCTCCCACCCCACCTACAGACAGCGTGGGGGGGGGCACCACGGGGGGAATCCTCCCCCCGTGGAGAGAACCCCCAGCCTGGGGACAGTCCTCCAGCCCCACCAGGCACTGCCAGCAGGGAGCCCCAGGGGTGCCAGATAGACCAAAATAATAGCCATTCACACCCATGGCTAAGATTTATTACAGAGATGTAAGGAACACAGTCAAATCATAGGGGGTAAAAATCAGTCTGGAAGAATCCACAGGCAGGCTGACTCTTGCCCTACCTGCCATGAGGGGTCCTACAGAGCACACCTGTCCGAGCAACAAAAGAATAGCAACACATGCTGATGTTTTTGCTCAGGGTAGCCCATTAGAGACTCTCCACTCAAAGTTTTTACCAGGAGCTGGTCACATAAGCACCTTCCTCCTAGCATGTGTCAAAACTATAGATTCCCAAAAAGAAAGCAGGTTATTCAGCAGAAACTGTATTGCTGGCACAAATGGTCTAGGCACAGTTAACCACTCTTATCAGTTAACTGTTGACTGGGAACACCCTGGGAACCAAGCCCCCAGATGCCAGCCCTGGGCCAGTCTTGCAAGCAGGCCTTGCTAAGAGGAGCAGTCTCAGTACTGCTATGTTGTCTCTTCTCTGCACAACTGCATAACCCTGTGAATATACCAAGAAAATATTAGATTGTAGTCTTTCAGTGGGTCAGTTTTATGGGATGTGAATTCTCTCTTCAGTGAAATTGTTAAAAATAATTCCTGCAAGGTTTTGTTGTAGACATAGGCAAGCTTATTCTAACAGTTATATGGTAAGGCAAAGCCCTAAAGTAGCTCAAATAACCTTGACAAAGAAGAATCATGTGGGACAAAACACTCTACCTGATGTAAAAGCTCAGCATGTACCTACAGTCATCAAGACAGTGTGGTTTTGATGGAGGTGCAGACATTCAGGTTGATGGAATGGAGCAGAGAGTCCAGAAATAGCTCCACTCAGATATACCCAACTTCTGCAAAGATGCAAAAGTAATTCAGTGGCATGAGACTAGCTTTTCAACAAATGGTGCTGTAACAACTAGACATCCATATACAAAAAAATGAATCTCACAACTTATCCAAAAAATAACTAAAACTGGATCACAGACTTATATTTAAAACATAAATATTAATTAAACTTAAAAAAATTTGATGAAAACTTTGGTACCTAGGGCTAGGCAAAAAGTTCTGAGGATGACACCAAAACTAAAGTCCAAAAAAGAAAAACTAATAGGTTGGACCTCATTAAAATGAAAACTCTTGCTCTGTGAAAGGCCCTGTGCAGAGAGTGGAAAGACAAGTTAAAGACTTTGAGATAGTATTTGCAAGCCATATATCCAACAACAGACGTACTTAGGATATATGAAGACCTCTCAAAATGCAACAATTAAAAATAATCCAATCAGAAAATGGGCAAAAACATAAACATACATCTCACTGAAGAAGATATACTGATGGTGAACAAGTGCATGAGAGAATGTTTACCATCATTAACCATTATAAAAGTGAAAATTAACACTGCAACAAGATTTAAGTACAACATATATCAAATCAACCAAAATGAAATATAGTGACAACAATAAATGCTGGCAAGGATGCAGAGAAACTGAATCACTCATACTTGCTGGGAATGCAAAATAGTCTAACCCCTCTGGAAAATATTTTGGCCATTTCTTATGAAACCCAACATACAATTACCATCCAAACCAGCAATTAATTGTACTCTTGGACATTTATCCCAGAGAAATGAAAACTTAGGTCCACACAAAAACCTGTACACAAATGTTCAGGGCACCTTTCTTTATAGTGGCCAAGCACTGGAATCAGTCCTGATGTCCTTCCTTGAGCAAGTGGTTAAACAAATAGTGGTACATCCATACAGTGAAATACTATACAGCAATAAAGAGGAGCAAACTATGGACACAATAGCTTGGATGAAGCTCCAATTATGCTTAGTGAAAAATCTATCTCAAAAGCTTCCATACCATATGATTCCACTTATAAAACACTTTGAAATGACATCATTTTTTAAAAATGGAGGACAGCTTAGTGGTTGCCAGGGGTTAGGGACCTGGATGAGAGAGAGCAATGGATGGGTGTGACTATAGATGGGCAATAGCACGGACCTCTGTGATGATAAAAATGTTCTATATCTTGTCTGTGGTGAGATCCATGAATCTTCATAGGTGACTAAACTGTATAGAACTAATTATACACATGCAAATGAGCTGAAGTAAAACTTGAGAACTTTGAGTATGATCAATGAGCTGTACCAATGTCTGTGTCCAGGTTGTAGTGTTGTAGTTTTGCAGAATGTTACCACTGGGGGAAACTGGGCAGAGGGTAAGAGGAAGCTCTGTAAAGTAGTTCTTACAACTGCATGTCAATCTACAATTACCTCAATGAAAATTTCAATGACAAATAATACATCAAGCCTAATCCTACAATCCAGGACAATCATGATGACGAGTCCCATGATGGTACCCCTACGGTCTTGGCCCACCCACTTCTCTGGGCCATATCTCCAGAGGTCTTCTTTCCTTTGCTCACACCCATTCTCTCTTCTCACAGAGCTGGGTCTTGCCTTTATTTCAAAACACTCTCCTGCACTTTTATCCACGTGGAAGTTGAATGGCAGCACAGTTATTCTTCCTCCTGAGATGCGTTCATTGTCCACAGCACCCTAGCCCAACAGGGCTCCTTGGCACAAGGGGACACGCACGACAGAGGAACCACAGAGCTCAGGGCAGGCAGCTGCATCTGCTTGGGGCACATTTCCACAATCGGATTTTCAGAGTGTGATCTCTCTGGTGCTTAGAACCCAGAGCAGAACCCCCAGCAAACAACAGATGAGTATTTGAATATTTTCATCATTCCCCAAAGTTGAAAAGAAATATTTGCCTGAGGGAGGAATAGGAATCTGAAATTCTGTTTTGTATTTGTTGTTGTTTGTTTGTTTGCTTCAAAAAAGAGTGTCCCTGGCTAGAAGCCTCTTAGAGGGGAACACACACTCCCCAAGGGCAACTCTGAGTCCCTGGGCTGTGCACAGGCCATCCAAGGACATCTTGTTTGTCTTTATTTTTTTCTGGACCTCATGTTAAAGAAACAAATGGAAGCACCAATAAGAGCACCAGCCTAGAGAGATCTGGCCAGGAACCAGGGCTGGCAGCAAAGGGTTGGCTTCGTAGGATTTCTTCACCACCAACACCATCACCAAGCACTGCAAAGAAGCATATAATCTAACTGAAATAAATTTAGTCTCAGAATCAGCCCCTGTCTCCTGTCTGTTGCCCTCCGAAGCCCCATCAGTGTGGAAATTCTGATGCCCAGGCCTCCGTGGCCAGCCACCCCGCCCTCCCCTGCCACCCGCAGAGGCAGCCAGGTGGGATCCTTACCTGCGGACCTGAATAGGTGGCCCCGGAGCAGTGCACCAGTCCCGCCTGCCAAGGGCACTCGTTTGCACTTGGTGAGCTGGAGGTTTGGGGTGAATCTCTCTACAAATTGCTGAGGCAGCGTCTGCCCTGAACAAAGAGAGATCGACGTTTGAGTTTTAAAACAAATGAAAAGCTTGAGGCTATTTTTTTCCCCCAAAACGGGAAATGACTATAAATATGCAGTGTGCTCCATGTGAAAAGGGCCCCTTCACGAAATCCAGAGCGCTTTCTCTCCCAGCTCCCCTCTCCAGGGCAACATCATTTTACAGGGAACGGGCCTCCCCAGAGTCCATTCTTGTTTAGCTGGCAGCCAGACGGAGACTCGGACCTGGGTATAATCGCTGACCTAGAAACTCACAGAAGAATTGAGGCCAAAGTTTAAAATGCTTTATTATTGTCTGGGGGGTAAGTGGGGGAGTGGGAGGAGAGAGAGAGAGAGAGAGAGAGAGAGAGAGTGTGTGTGTGTGTGTGTGTGTACACACGTGCAACATTGTCACATCTAGAGAAACAGCTCTGCTAACTCAGTTTTACTCTCTACCTCTTAAGAAAAAAGTCCCTGGTTAATGTGTTTCAAGGAAAACTTATACATCATTTTTCAATGGATGAATCCCTGTTCTACTGCATGTAAATTCTGAAATTTATTGTACCTGAGCGTCACATTTCTCTCAGGATATATGGAAACTAACCCTTGCCCTCATTCTTACACACACGCACACGTACACGCACAGCATTTCCAACTTAGCATATTAAAGGCCTTTAAGCAGCTTCTGTAATTGTGCCTTCCATGCTCTGTGCCTTTGTTCTTCCAGTCCTTTGTTCTCCTAGCAGCTCGTGAGCTCAGGGGGCTGCCTCTGTGGGCCCTGAGCCTGCAGAATCCAGGGCTCTGGGGCCACAGCTGGCTAGTTGTGCTGACAAAGCAGAAAGGCAGCACCCTTGAGGAGTGCAAGTTCACAGGGGCTGCGGGCCTGGCCACTGTGGCCACCACAGACCAGTGATGTCAGGGAAGGCCGTGTGGGCCTTCAGAGGCTCCAGCACCCAGAGAGCTGCTTTTCCTGTGTTTGTGCAGCCTGGGCACCTGCAGGAGCTGAGCCTGCCAGGCTCTGATGAGCCAAGTTGTGACCCGCCTTTTGGCCCTGTCCACCCTACGGTTTTCAAGTCTGGTTAGAACTTGCTAATGTTACAAAAAAATTGCATGACCTGGTTGTTGTCTAGCAGCTCAAAAAACATGTTATGTGGAGAATTACGCCCTAGACTACACCCTTTGCTTGGAAAAGGCTTGAAAATCAGGTCCCGCTTTTAGGCTCCTAAAGACTCAGTGGTCCGCGCATCCCTCATTCACTGTGTCCAAAGAGACACCCCCACAGTGCAGCGTCTGTGAGGAAGCTGGACTTCCACCTACTGGGTTTTGCCTCAAGAAGGTGAATGTGGATGAATGAGTTCAACCCTCCCAAAAGTGCCCCACAGGTCATCATTTTGCAATTAAATTGTTCATAAAATCTAATGGGCCAGGATATAGTTCAGCAGGATAAAAGCAACCCCAACAAAGAAAATGACGAATCCTCAACACTCAGCAAAACAGTTTTAAACATAAGGTGGTTCTTTCCCTTCTGAGTTGTCCTTATTGTGTGCATTATTTTTTATATATAGCTTACAAGACAGAAGAGTGGAACAGGCACTAGAGATGAGGTCCTGAGCTCTACAGATCCTCTTTTCCCATAATGTAAAATGGGGATAAGAATGAATTATTATCTACCTACCTAATGGATTGTGAGAATTAAGGGAAATCAAGTCAAGCACTTAGCAGTAAGAAAGAGCTCAGTATATTTTAGTGATTAGTATTAGTAGCATGAGCAAAACTATATTAAATAAAGCTTTTTGCAATCACAACACATGCCCTTACGTGAATACATATATTTACTATTATAACTTCAGATACAAAAATATTCCTCAAGCTAAGGGTGTCTTCTAATCAGACCAAAATAATTGATTCATTGGCCTTGAGTAAGAATTGAAATTGGAGCCCTTGATTGGAAGATGAAGTACCTTTGCTCTGTAATCTGACACTAAGCACGTGTGGCACATGAAGTAGGTTTTATTACATTTTTAACCTCTTACCTTTGTAATTGCTCCAAGTTGCACTGCTGTTAGATTGCTAATCATGATGCCAAATGATGTAAATGAATGTCTAGATTAATGACAAATGATGTCAAAACCTGAGGATGTGAATGCAAACTGTAGCTGGACTAAAAGAAAGTCAAAGGCCAAAAGCATATTAAACTAACACTGCATTTGAAAGATTTTATTGAAAAAAAAAGATGAATTGTGTGGCCTAACATCATGTCTCAGTCCTCCTGAAGCTGGACCTCACTTTACCCAAGTCAATCATAAAAACTAATAGAGGTGAACTGTGGTTCTCATGCTGTGTCTACCCTGCACTGAGCTAAGGGGACAGTGCGCAGGGCCCCAGGAGGCCTCCCTCCATGCTCTCTGGTGAGGCCAGGGAGAGGCTTCTAAGCATCGCAGCAGCCAGTGTGTTAACCAAGTCTGTAGGCTCTAAACTGGGAAGTCTTAGGGGTCATCAATTCCCAACCTCTCCCTTTATGGGGTGGAAAGTTGAGGCCCTCAAAGCTCAAGCAATGTGTTTAAAGCCACGTAGCAAGCTAGGGGCAGAGCTAGACAAGGACTGTGCTGTGGGAATTCACAGCCTTCTTCCTTCCCTGGACCTTCTCTATCTTGTTCCAGTCACAGCTGATCCTTTCTGGCACCTCCTAACTCCATTCCCTTCACTCTAACATCCTAACATCCTGGGCCAGGCCTGGGCTGGGCTACATGCAGCAGGAGCTGAAGAGACAGCTTACAAGGGACACAAGTGACCTCACTCTGCCAACTCGCCTCAGAGCCCCTCCAGCACCACGGGCTTCAGCCTCTTTCTCTGTCATCACCATGCGGCTCCATTAAAGCGTGTCAGGCCTCAGAGAATGGTGGGAGAAGACCTCCTTTTGGACTGGAAGCCCTTCCTTCACAGGCCAGCCCTAGATGTTTGGTGTGGTTTTCTTAATGCCATATTTTAGCAATGACTGTGCTTTTGATCAGAACTAAAAAATGTCCCAAATGATTGAATCAGAACCATTTGCAGGAAATGACGCAGGGGCAGTGACCCCCAGAACACAAGGCCGTCCTGCCTGGCATCCTGAGAGCTGGAACTGTCACCCCCAATGCTGCTTTGGCCTCCTCACCCCCACCGTCCCTCCTCCTGTGGGTGGACCCGGGTGGGGAAGGGATGTGTCTGCGGGGCACCCATCTACCACATCTCATTTCTAGCCCAGCCCAGCCTTGCCTGCAAATTAAAGCTCACCCAGGTCCTGCAGGTCCATTTGGCGGGGTCGGCAGATCCTCTGGATGCTGAGGCCCCTGACATGGGCCTCTGTGGATCCCCTCCTGCCGGAAGGCTGGCCGCTGGCAGCAGTTCTCTGCTCCCCCACACTGCGGTCTGGCTCTGACACTGCCTCCTGCTCTCCTTGAAAACATGCGTACCTGTAAGCATCTCTGCTTGCTTGAGGCCTCTCGGACTAGATAATATTTAAATAAACAAATAGGATCCTACATGCTGCCCTATGCCGTGAAGGATGGACGTGAATCAGGGCATTCCAAAGGCGGGGGAGGACCCGGCGCCAGCCCTGTGAACAAGCGAGCTGCCATTGGCTGGGTGGAGACGGCCGCTTTCACGATAGATGCCCCAGCACTCCACAGAGCTGACAGGTTTTCTTTTTTCTGTCATTGTTTCAATGCACAAAATCCCCTAATTACATGATTCGAAAATAACACAGCGCACAATCCCATGGGATTCTGTCCCCATGTCCACCACACACAGCCCTCCTTGTGGCAAGGAGTTCCCTGGGCGCTCACTCTCCTGTTCATAGCTAGTTGAATTAAACTTATATTCCACACTGAACACATGGAAAAACTTGGGAGTTTCACTTACAAATTCGGAGTAATTGAGAGTATTGCTGTCTACTGATTGGCTTCCAAGCAACTACAGTCCAGGCTGGGGGAGAGGAGGGAGCAGTAAAGTGGGAACTTCCTGGGCATTCCTTGTCTCAGAAACCAGACCTTTAGCTTCCAGATTCCCGCTACTGAGTGTCCAAAGGAATGTCCCATGTAAATTGCTGTCACCATGGAATTTCATAAGTGCTGTCCAAGTACGGAGTCGTGGTAAGTCCCGACCAAAGGGGAAGAACTAACCACACGTGACTTAACACTTCAGCTCATCAAGCTGCCAAATCATAGGCTTGTAAACTGTTGAACTAACAGGAGGCAGGGGATGGGCCCCTGCCGTATGTTCCCTTGACACCCTATCTGTCAGCCGTCATAATCCTCACTCAATGTCTCTGCAATTGTTTGTGAAACATTCTTTCTCCTCCATTGGCTATAACCTCATAGAACAGACCTTGCCTGCCACAATCACAGTTACATCAACCAGGAACTAGGAGCCATGCAACAATATTTGATGAATGAATGAGACATGGATGATGAATGGATGGATGGATGGATGGATGGATAGATGGATGGATGGTTGGAACCAAATACATTCCCACTATGGTCTTGCTTTCATTTTCCAAAGAAAATATGTGAGGCATAACATGCTAAAGCACAAGGGAGAATTGTAGAGATTGTGCTCCCCCCAGTTTAGTTGAAGAAAGCCTTACAAGTGACCTTTAAGACATCTCTTAAAGGCTGATGACCACATGAGTTTATTTAAATTATTTTCTATCACCCCTTAATTCAGTGAACTGATATTTCTGAATTTTCTTCTGTCTCCCTTCAATCTAGGTTTTATTCATTGTTTGATTTACTGTTTGTTGTTTTTGTTGAAAAAATGTCCCAAAATCTGTGTGGCAATGGGCTGGGGAGAAACTCTGTGGTTGACCATACCTACCCAAGACATCGCTGAAATATGACAAATAGATTCCAGCCGTTTCGGAGTTCTCACCTTTGGCCTTGCATCACCCCCCAGTCCATCATGCTATGAGGGGGATATACATCTCTCCCTCCAGGCTAAACACATCCCACATCCTGAAACCCTCTTGCCACTGAGTAGTGTAAAGGGCCTTTCTTGTGGTGATAACAGCTCTTGTTGAAAGACCAAAAGGGTGGCTTTTAGTGGTTTTGTATCCAGACTCTGATTCTTTCTGCCCTGTGTTGAAATTGAGTATTACGTGGAAACATCGATCAGATGGGTGTCAGGGATTCTGCCCAGTTTTCCATGACTTGGGTTGGACAATGGGAGACACGAGCCTTGAGAAGAGAGCTCCTGGAGCTTTGGAGAGTCTGGGAGGGAACGCAGGGCCTCCCTGTGGGAGATGAAGGCATTTTCCTCCATTTTCCCTCCAACCCTCACCTTCCAGGCCTTCCCTGCCTTGCAGACTGTTGGCTCTCCTCCGGAAGCAGAGCGTTAGTCTGCTGCCTTCCTCTTCTCTTTGTAAGTTTATGTAGATTTGAAACAATCAGATAGGACTGTGTTGACTTGGAGCAGACAGAACAGCCCCAGCTCTGAGGACAGTGGGGAGACCAGGAAGGAGATGCTGCCTCCATCAATGCACGTGCCCTGTGCAGGGTGAGGGTCTCAGGCTCCCAGGTCCTCAAAGGCCCACAGTTAAAGGGGAACATGCTGCACTGCACAGATAGGACTGAATCTGTTCCCCGTGACAGACGAATGTCTCCGATGTAGCATATGAATCCAAGAGGTGTGGTGAAGCAGAGCTTACATCTTTCTGTGCATTCTCAGCTCTCCTGTTCTGTGAAGATGCTCTGCGACATCCATTAACTCAGAGGATATAATCATTTCTGAATCAATAATTTTAAAAGCCCCAGATCAGGAAGCAGAAGACTTTATTTCCATGATTGGTTTTTCTCTTTTCACAGGAGCAAGATCTACCCATGACGGCACGATATCCTTGCTTCTAAAGGGAATAAACCTTTAAAAATAAATACTTGGCTGTCCCAGTTACAGAAATTGATTTTTTTTTAAATTTCAAGCAGGTGATAATCGCCAGCTGTGGATAAAAATTTGGAAGAGGCTTTTGAAATAAAAGTTATACCCCATGCAAATAACCCTGCTGTGAAAGAAACTTCATTCCTGGACTCAGAAACAGGTGGCTTACTAAAATTGTTTTTCTGTTATCTGTTCTGTCACAGTGGAGACGTCGTTGCTTTTGAAAAATCTACTAATTATAACAGCATTAGCCAAGAAAAAAAAACAGTGAGTATTGAATAAAATAGACTGACTATGATAGGCCCTGTGATCATCAGTAATTGTTTAATTTGATGCAATTATTTTCCTGTACCTAATGTTTTTATTATGTTTAGCGCTTCACCACTCACCCACTGGACCAGGATTGCTGGGTGTCCCCTGTATCCCAGCCACACACTTGGGCTGGGACAGATGCGGTCCTTATCCTCAAGGAGCATGCTGTTTTGCTGCATATCAGCTGCTTAACTGTGCTTCTTTTGCTGTAATTAAAGAGGGTGGTAGGTTATTGGAAATACATTTATGGGAATGCATCTCTATATTTCAGTTACAGCTCTTTGAATTAGGACACCAGAACTATTAATGACTCATTGATGATGCCATAGGTTCAATTTTACTTAAGTTGGCCAAGATGACATGATAGCACATTGATACCATCTTGTTGACAAGTGCCATTGAATGGACAACCTTTTTAAAAAACCTGTTTTGTGACCAGCACTCTTGAAGGCTGAATGGGGTATGAAGGAAAAGTAAAAACAAACAAATGTGCTCCCTGTACTTAGAATTCAGTTTCATATTTGGGGAGCTAAGAGAGACATGGAACAAAAAGTGTAGTGTTGAATGGGCAGGGAGGGCTGTAGGTGGTCTGGGAATTCCAAAGTGGGAGGAAGGGATAAAGGTTTTTGTGTGCCTGAGGAATCAGGGAGGGCTTCATGGAAGAGGTAGCCTGTGTTTGTTTCCTATAGCTGCTGTAACAAATTAGCACAAATTCAGTGGCTTAAAACAACACAGACTTATTATCTTGTAGTTCTGGAGGCCATGTGCCTGACCCGTGTCTCACCAGGCTAAGATCAAAGTGCTGAGAGGGCTTCATTCCTTCTGTGGGATTTGAGGGAGAATCCACTCCTTGCCTTTTCCAGCTGCCAAGGCTGCCCGTGTTCCTTGGCTCATGGCCCCTTCCACAGTCTTCAGAGCCAGCAAAAGCAGGCTGAGTCCTTCTCATGTTTCCATCTCTCTGGTTCTCTCAGCTAGGAAAGGTTCTCTGCTTTGAAGGACCCTTGTGATTACACTGGGGCCGCCTGGATGATCCAGGGTCAACCTTGAGGATGATCCTCATCTCAAGGTCCTTGACCCCAACTCCAGCTGTAAAGTCCCTTTTGCCATGTAAGGTTCCAGGGATTAGGATATAGACATCTTTAGGGACTATTATTCTACCTGCCACACAGCCCTCAAGCTGGTCCTGGAGGGGTCACCCAGGCCTCTTTTAGGAGGCATTCAGCTTGCATTCATGCTGGCAGGTGTGTGGGCAGTGAGGAGCTGGAGGTGAGGATGTTGCGGAGCAGGGGACTCTGGATGAAGTCCAGTTAGTGGACAGCTCATCAATGCCATGCTCAGGAACTTGGATTTCACCCAAGAGGCTTGACCATTGAGGCATCTTCAGGAGAAGCACAAGCTATGTTTGCTCTGGGGGCAGTAATCCTGGGAGCAGTGTTTTCAAGGATGCAGGAAAGACAAAAAGCATCTGGAAGAAGGTTGGTAGAATGATAATAATTCCAGTGACATTACTTGGATCTGTTGAAAATCCCAAACTGCATTTGATACACATAGAAAATCTAAGTAGAATTTCTTAATTTTTTCTTTGTCTTTTTGCTAAATTATTTCTCCAGAGCAGGAACCCCTCTGAGTCTTTTGTCAATGCTCCTTCCACAGAGAGTCAGACTTTAGTAGTTCTGTACCATACTTTCATTTTAGATTGATTATATTGTGAAGAAAATATTTTAATTCATGATTTTTAAAATGCCTTTTTCCTGAAATATCAGTTCCTTTCACAGGAAAAGCCCTGAGCAAATTGACTTCAGGAGTGGGTGAATTTGCTTTTTTTAAATTAATTTTTGGAATAGCTTACTTTTACGTAGCCTTTATAACAATTTATTAAATTTCCATGGTACTACATTTTCAGATGACTTCTGAACAGATGGAGTTGTGATGTGCTTGCCAGTTGAAATGTAGAGATTTCCGCGAAGTTAGACAAAAAGCAGTCTTCCTGGAACTGGCGTTAACCTGAACGTGCATAAGGCTCGCTTGGGAAGCTGATTAAAATGATAGATTTCTGGCCTCATCTGATTTACTAGGGCCCTGGGGATATGCAACTCTAGTTCCCCGAGGGATTCTGATGTGGGTGACTTCAGGAAACACTTGTGAAACCCTGCCTTTATTGATAGCAACATCAGG